TCGTCCGCCTTGGTCAGCGTGCCATCCAGATTGAAGGACAGCCAATCATCCTCACCGGTGCACAGGCCATCAACAAGCTGCTTGGTCGTGAAGTTTACACCTCTAACCTCCAGCTTGGTGGTACCCAGATCATGTACAGGAACGGTGTCTCACACTCGACTGCCGATGATGACTTCGAGGGTGTCTCCAAGATCGTCCAGTGGCTGTCATACGTACCCGACAAGAAGGGCAGCCCCGTCCCGATCTCGCCATCTGCCGACAACTGGGACCGCGACATCACCTACTACCCACCTGGCAAGTCAGCCTACGATGTCAGGCATCTCATCGCCGGAAAGGAGGACGAAGACGGTTTCCAGTCTGGTCTCTTCGATCGCGGTTCGTTCGTTGAGACTCTTGGTGGTTGGGCCAAGACGGTTGTCGTCGGTCGTGCTCGCCTCGGTGGCATTCCTATTGGTGTCATCGGTGTTGAGACACGCTCGGTCGAGAACGTTACACCTGCTGATCCCGCCAACCCTGACTCCATCGAACAGGTCACATCCGAGGCTGGTGGTGTCTGGTACCCCAACTCCGCCTTCAAGACTGCTCAGGCTATCAAGGACTTCAACAACGGTGAGCAACTGCCGTTGATGATTCTTGCCAACTGGCGTGGTTTCTCTGGTGGCCAGCGCGACATGTACAACGAGGTCCTCAAGTACGGTTCTTACATTGTTGATGCGCTCGTCAAGTTCGAACAGCCCATCTTCGTCTACATCCCTCCGTATGGCGAGCTCCGTGGTGGATCTTGGGTCGTTGTTGATCCCACTATCAACCCTCAATTCATGGAGATGTACGCCGACGAGGACTCGCGTGGTGGTGTGCTCGAACCCGAAGGTATCGTCGGTATCAAGTACCGTCGGGAACGTCAACTCGACACAATGGCCCGCAACGATCCTACCTACGGTGCTCTCAAGCGCAAGCTGAACGACAAGGCAACACCGGAGTCCGAGCTCAGCGAAATCAAGGCCCAAATGACCGAGCGCGAGAAGAAGCTTCTACCTGTCTACGGTCAAATTGCCCTCCAGTTCGCCGATCTGCACGACCGCTCCGGCCGCATGCAGGCCAAGGGTGTCATCCGACAAGCCCTGCGATGGCAAAACGCCCGCCGCTTCTTCTACTGGCGCCTTCGCCGCCGTCTCAACGAGGAGTACATCCTCAAGAAGTTCGCCGCTGCCGCCTCGCCTACACACGACAACCCCATGGCCAACCCGCTCACCCGCAGCCGTGGCTTCGAGATGTTGAAGCACCTGTCCAACATCCCCAACTGGGAGCAAGACGATATGGCCGTAGCGACCTGGTACGAGGAGAACAGGCCCCTCGTCAGCGACAAGATTGAGCAACTCAAGACCGACGGCATCGCGCTCGAAATCGCACAGCTCATGCGCAAGGACCGCGAGGGTGGCCTAAAGGGTGTCATGAGCTTGCTCAGCACCCTGCCCACGAGCGAGAAAGAGGAGGTGCTCAAGATGCTCAGCAGGGCGTAGTAGTACCAATGTTTTCGATTATCATTCGCTTTAACGGCATGGCATAGCATATGGGGTGGTGTTTCTTCAATTTTCTGGGTGGAATTGGGAATGGTGATGATGGTGTAACTTTAGCGTTGCTACGGTGCGACTGCGTTGTCTTTTCGCAAATTCCCCCCTTCTTTAGCTTATCAGTTTAGTTACTACATAGATGAGGAAGAACAGGGCGGGGTGTTGGGAGGCACTTCCGTTCTTGTTCTTTCTCGTTGTTTAGATGTGTAATTGATCTTCAAGTTCAAAAAATCTTGGTTGCTGTGCTTAGTGTGCTGGTGGTGGTGCTTGCATCCCGCGTCCCACGTCCCCACGTGGCTTCGCTTTATCGTCGGCCTTACACCCCGCGCCTACGAAGACACTCATTGTGCTCCTTGTCTTGCTTTTTGGGGATGTTGCGGCTGCGCGCTCCTTCCCGTTCCTTGGTGATGCTTATAGCGTGGGAAGGAAGGCATGCAGATCGGCCGAACTCCACTTTCAGCTGCGGGGTTCCGTCGCGGTGATACGTCACTAGGCCGCAAAAACAGCATCACCGATGCAGAAAAATCGTTCGTGGTTTGGAGCTCCATCAATCATCTTGAGTACTTCCTTCCTCCCTTTCTCACATATACATACGCATACTCATCACCTACGCGACTCCCATCTTCCAAGCGAGCCGAAAAGCTTGAACAACAGACTACACCCGAAAGAGAAGACAGCAACACCCAAGATGGTCTACACAATCGTCGTTCACCTCCTCGCCAAGGAAGACCAGGAGAGCATCAGCAAGCTGAGTGCTAAGCTTGTGGAAGCGAGTCAGGTGTACAGCAAGGATAAGGAGACGCTGAGTTGGTTCGTTATGCAGGATACGGTGGATAAGAGGAAGTTTACTATTGTTGAGCGGTATTTGAAGGAATCTGTGAGTTCCATACATCGATGATTGCATTGAAGATTACCGGAACAGCAGCATACTAACGTCCGCCGCAGTCCCAGCAGTACCACCTCAACAACCCATACTGGAAGACTTTCGATCCTTACGTCATTCCGCTTTTGGCTGCGCCTATGGATTTGAGGCGTCTTGAGGAGTTGGACACTACGGTTACCTCGGCGGGTTCGCATTATCATGAGGATGCTGTTAAGTCTGAGACGAGCGTGGGCAACATGTTCCAGGGTACTGATGCTTAAATTGAGATAGGCGGCCGGCGTGCTAAACCAGGAAAAATGTAAAACGTCACAATCTACCATCGCAGCAGAATGCGACTTTTTGAATCATCTTCGGATCCTACGCCGTTCCTTCGTGGGTGTTGTTGGCGTTGCGGAAATGATGACTGGCTCCTCGTCTACGGGCCATTGCGTAACTCATCAGAGTACCGTGGTATTGGCTGGGTAGAACCAAAGTCTGACTTCCACACGATTATTTAACGAAGCTAATGTTAGAAATCTACTTTCCCGCCTACCCAACATTTAGCTTTCAATGCTATCAAGCTGACATCCTCATTTTATCTCCAACTTGCCACGACCATACACCCAGTTCTAGTCGATACCTCCATCTCAGAGTGCGATCATGGCCGAGCTTGAGAACCTACCGGACGATCTCCTGCTTGATATCGCGCTGCGCCTTCAGCCACCCGATCTTAAAGACCTAGCCCTAACTGCACGCGAGTTCCGCGACATCGCGCAAGAAGCTCTCCACACTTCCATCAGTCTGAGGAAGTATTCCCAGTCTCTTCTGGAACTCCTCAGAACCCTAGTACAACGGCCAGATCTCGCTAAGAAGGTCCGCTCTTTGCAAATAACGGGATATTGTGGTGTTCAGCCAATTTACAGATTAGCTATAATCTATGAGGAGTGCTGGGACCAGGTCGTCACACACGCAATAAAGTCGACACAATCTTGGCCCATCGATCAGATGAAGTGGGTTAGCTTCGTCAAATATGGCAATCTTTATGCTTGCATTGGCCTACTGCTGGTGTTGACAGATCAGCTGCAGACTCTCACGTTCTGCTCTGGAGATAACGAGGATTTCATGACGCCACCAAGCCTGAGTCTGACGTTCCCTGGCATAGCCGAAGCGCATGATGTTACTGCTCCTGATCTTCTGCTTCTTCCACAGCTCCGAAGGCTATCTGGCGCTTGGGGTGAAATGAACAGGTCTTGGTCTACCTTTCCAAAGCTGCTACACCTGGAGCTTGATTGTACAGAGCTCGTAGCATGGGACAAAGAACCAGTCATCCTATTTCATGGTATCACTACCTTGACACTACGGCGCCCAACACTTTACGAATATCAGCCAGCGGATACACAAGACCTATCGCCTTTCTTCCAACGGGTCCCCGCCCTGAGGTCTTTGCGCTTGTGTTTTACCAATTGGAGAAAAAAAGATGGCAACATGTATGATGGTGTTCGGGCTTATTATAGCTCTTATGATCCCGGCATCCCGACAGAAGAACGCATATGCTACCCTAAGCAAGGATTTACGTCTTCCATCATTATCGATCCGCTGATCCCTGCCTCACATCTTCTGGAAGAGCTGGAGCTAAAGTGCTCTGACACCGGAGATTCTAAACAGATCGACTACCTCCGACCATCACGATCGTTGCAACGTTTCACTTTAATAAAGCGCCTATCCATTCCGCAAAGTGTTCTCATCAACTCAACCCCCTACGGATGTTCCCCTCTCCATCCGTTCGAGGCGCTGCCGCCGAATGTAGACTACCTTAATGTAGCTGATCCGACTACCGCTGTGATAGAGTGGATCTCCGGAGTTCTGGATGACCGCAGCAAGCTGCGCAGCTTGAAAAGAATATCTCTCGACTTCGACAACGACCCGAAGCAGCGAGTAAAGGACTATAAAGAGGCTGGAGTGGAGATTTTTGGTCGGCTGCTGGAGGCAGGCATATCCGTGCACTTCGAGAACGTACGTTTAGTCTGTCTTGAGGCTTGCTGCAAAGAGTGAGGCGACCTTCTGGACATACTACTTGCGCTGCTGGAGACTAGGGGATGTATATTCAGAGCATAGGTAGTGTTTCTTGCGGCCACTGGAGGCTTTGTTGTTCAATACATGAGATAGTATTATAGACAACGAATGACAATATTTTCAGCGTGAGCTAAGCTGCTTAATACTACCAATTAGTACAAGAACCCCTAACATCTTTCAATGCCGCCGAAGTTTGTGTCGAAGTTGCTATCGCAAAGAGAGTCGTTACCTAGTACTTAGGCGGATAACTCTTGGTGACTGGAGGATGGACTGTCGCCTTCACCTCACTTACTTGAAAATCGAAACCTCCCGTCTTTTGCTATTGTGTCGCAAGGACAATAAGAGCGATCAAAATCGTAATTCTCTAGAAAAACTGCTCTCGCACTTATAACCGTATCCAACAATTCCTCAATCTTCTTCTATCATCCAATACCTATCCTCAAAGAGCTTTCTGCCTTAACCACGACATCGACACTGACTATACCTAGGCGATCATGCTGGACGCAAGCAACATGGAGCCAATTACGGGTGACCGCAAGGCATATTTCGAAGGTACTCCACCCTGCTCTCACGTCACGCTCTTGGCTAACTCTCACAGATCTCCGCAAGAACCATATCCCTCAATTCTTATTTCGTACTTGGAGCAGCAACAGCGGTGGAGGATCAGAACACGCAACTAACAGTGTCAAGGAGATCATTCCGCACGGCTTCATGAAGAAAGCCTCTGGAAGCAGATTCTACGACAAGCCTGAAAGTGAGCTTTACAAAATGGTGCAAGACCATTACGACACCGAATCTGTTTTCACCTCCGAATTTAGCTCATGGACGGGGTCACTTCACCTAGCTCTCTGCTATGCTGGATCCATAGAAGAAGAATACGGTCCCCACGTCGCAATCATGGACACACACCAGCTGGATGGAGACGTCTTGGTCTGGCATGTTCCGCACCTGTTCAAGCCCGACGGACTTCATGAGTACTTGGCTCATGGACCAATCAGAGGCATTGGATACAAGGCCGTATCGTACAAGACGTTAATGTCAGCTGGTCTGGCACAGGTATTTCCCGAGCTATTGGAGACCGATCTCGCTGACTGGGGTATGAGCTCACGCAACGGGATGTTCAACGGGCCCCCGATTCCATTTCCAACGGACAACATTGAGAAATCTGACGAGATGAAGCAGATTCAATCAATCGCAAACCTTTACGGCCATCTTTACTTACCAGTAGCGACTAGTCTGATGTGTCTTCGGCTTCGACCTTGGTTAGGCTCGCGAGCTGTTTGCAAATACGAAGCCAGCCAAGGATATTTCGAGGGGTAATTGGCTTTGCAAAGGTGTTGTACTGACCGAGTCTCCCATGGGTCCGCACAACTTTCCTGACGTCCGACAGTGGATCAAACTCCTCCGAGCCATCTCTGAACGCACAGATTGATGAGTACAAAGGCTTCGAGAACGAAGATGGGTTCGAGGATTAGGGGCTACGGAGATGGCGCTGGGCACGTAGGCTTCTTGATAGGGAAGGCTGGAGGATACAAGGATGTATTGATACTGTACAGATAACGGTTAAAGTCAACGTCGACTCTTCGGTCCTTTCTCGTATCTCAAGAAATCGCGTTGTGCTCTCTCGTGTTCTGTTTAGGCTGATACACGGATGCGTATACTGCATGCCTGGGCAGATGTATCCGGCACAATACATCCAGCAATAATGTGTACATAGGTATTTCTGCGATGGGACTAGCATGCATTTACAGGTGCTGCTCCATGTCTGACGCATGTCAACAACGGTCTTCATTAGTATCTGAGAAATGATCTGTTAAGCTCTGAAGTCATTCTCATATCATTATTACACATACATTCATGATCATGCATCGATTCAAGGCCGAGAAGCTGCACGTAGGCCAAGCGATGCTATTGCAGAGGCTAGATTGCTCTCTTTCAAAATTAACAGTGTAAAAGATACGTACAAGTCACACAATACGAGCCTCGGCGTGTAGCTAGACTCATCATCACGATCGCCTTTACAAGCAATATTGATTCCAGAATCCAGAGTTTCTTCACAGATGATTAGAAAAGGTACTTAACGCTACCAAGAGCTACGGCTAAACTAGTGCATCGAGACTTGGGCCGCGAGAGAAGGCCCGGGGTGAACGAATGGCTTTCCGCTCCGGATGTACACTTAATAAAGAATCGATATCACATCTCTGAAACAAATCAATCGCGCTAATATACAAGCCGCACTACCCCATGGTGTCGGTCGACCACGTGCGGGCACTGTACCCGCCTGAAGCGTTTACTCATCAAACGACGTCAAGTGTTGTTCTAATGCTGTCATGCATAGTTGCGAATAGTGGCATTCAAAACTCGTGGGGTTTGGATCATGCACACAGCCCCCTCTGCAAATGACGCCGGAGATGCAGTCGAAGAGATCACCACCTAGAGATCGAAAAAGGAAGCAAGAAAGGTGGCTCTGGACTTGAAAGTAGAGCACCACACCCTCAGCCGGCGATGCTCGCCTGAACGCATGCGCCTTAGGTACAGCACCTATACGCAGCTGAACGCCTTTACCTAAAAGCTCTCCCTTTCTTTGTACCGAGGCGTTGCGGAGGCATCTCCGCCAGGCTTGGCCGGACTCGCGTGCCCAGGAAGACAGAGAAGCAACTCTTGATCTACACTGCACAGCCAACGGTACGGGAGAAGCAAAAAAGAGCGACAGATGTCACGCCTAAAACCTTGCAATGTATCGCGCAACTCCGCCATTGCATGCTGTCAGTACGCTGTCGGCCGGGGGTGGCGATGTGGATTGGTGGTGGGTTCTTTTTGAGCGAGGCGCACGAATGAGGTGCGCCGGAGCAATGAGCGTTTCTGCTCAGCCCGGTGTTTACGCTTTTGCGGCATGCAACAGGATACACAGTTACATTGCGGATTTTCAGTTCTGATGTACCGCGATAGGCGAGGTTTCCGAGACCCGTTGACAGTGACGGCGGGGGACGTTGCGCTGAGATCTCCCCTCGATGAAGAGCATGGTTTCGATCTCGTATACTCGTATGGAGGCCTGACGTCATTTCTCACGAGATCGTGGTTGCAATTCGTCATTTGTGGTTGCAGACGCTCTCTCTCCCTAGAAATCTAGGATACGCTGTCGACACCTGCACAGTAAAGGAGAGTCAATAGTAAGGTTCCTCATCTACAACGATTGTCGTTGTTCGAGATGTTTGAAGTGCAGCGGGGGTCTACCTTGTGACCGGGAGAGGTAGGTCCTGCCAGGCCTGGCTGGAATTAAGGTTGGCGTTAGAGCACCTAGTGATCCGTTTCGACACATCTGACGTACCAAGGTGTGAGTAAATGCCCCGAAACGGAGCCTGTCGGAACCCTGTGCTAACGACACCATTTCCCGCTATCACATCATTCCGCGAAGGTGTTCCGAAAGAGCCACGTGTTAGCGTTGAAGCCACTGCAGGTAATTTGGTTGCGAAACGGAGACGGCACCGATCATCCTTACATCCCGAGCCAGTGCTTCGAGGCTGGCCAGGTCTGGAATAGAGAGACGACGGTACCATGCGCACAACTTACACACAAATTGCAGCCATCATGCACCAACAAGATATAGTAGTGATATCTCGTGCACCCCTGAAGCTTGTGGTTAGAGGATAACAAGCGTAGAGCTCACCGGCCGGTGACGGTGGGGACAGAGTCCCAGATGATGGATGCAGGTGCGCTGTCACGCAGGTCCAAATGCAGTAGGCCATCGTCGTTAGTCTGCGCCGCATGCTGTAGTTTTCTCGCGTAAAACAGGTCCGCAATACTCGTAGCGAAAATTCTGCTCAGTGCTTGATCTTCGGGTACGCGATGGAACTGCAGAAGGGATGCCTGGCGGGATTGTGGCTGTGTCTACTGTCTACCGAGTTGTCAACGACTTCTGTGGGGCGCTCTCCCAGGAGACGGACGATCAGGATCAGCACCGACTGCGGCTGATGGTAACCGCACGCCGGATCGGCGTTAGACTCTTGTTCCCGTGCCAAGAGATCTTGATTGTCCCGGGTTCTCTTTCGCATGCTAATCCGCGTATATGACCACGAGCGATGTTCTCCGAGCCGACTACGCTTGGCAGCATTAGTTGACGGGAAGTAAATGATCCAGCTCGACGGGAGCTGTCAAGATGTCACTTTGTAGTGTTGAATAGTGATGTTGAATAGTGATGTGGGAGTGAATGCGAACCCGTCGATTTCTGGAGGTACTACACGACTGCGTCATGCTGTCCTGCAGTCAGGGCAAGTCGTAGCGGTCGCATCGCCTACCCTGGCCGTCCGAAATATTGATTTTGCAGCGTGAGTGCCAGCAGATGTGTGAGAACGGCAGGTGAAGCCGATCTCAGCTGGGAAAAGAAGGGTCGAAGGTGGCTGAGCCAACGATCTGCGGCTCGCGCAGCTTAGTCATATGCAGGAACCAAGCCTAATTGGCAACCGTCAGCTGCCGAGGTCACAACAGAGACCTCATTCGACTGGAAGCGAACGTGCACCTAGCGCGTAAGAGACAGTGGGAAATTGTCCGCTCAACATGGGGAAGTGACAAATTTCACAGCCGACATTACCTAGATTACCATGTTTGCGAATTTGCATACCAACGCGAATGCGAAACAAGTGCGAAGCTCTAAGCTGCCATTAACGAGAGCCTTCCATGCAAGCAACGACGGTGCCTTTAAAATTGTTCAAACATGACCGATAGACTCCACGGCGACAATTCCGCTGAGGACTGCGTTCGCTTGTCGCGTGCGGAAGATGATGTTAGTTCTAGCGATGTATCTAGTGCACGTTGGAGCGAGATTGTAGGGCTTCGATCTACAAAGAGATCTCTGATCCAGGTCCGTGGGTCTCCGATAGTATCTTCAGCTAGTGGGCCAGGAATGTGGGATCTTGATGACGCCCCCAAACTGTAGCTTTTCTGGTTAGCATCATGCTTTCGAGCCTCGGACAGATAAAGGCGACACACACTAAGCATCAGCGGAGCGATGCCGATTCGCTGAAAACCCCAAAGTGTATTGAGATTATGACAGCCATAGCAGCGTGCAGTAAACCAGTACACAGCGCGATGGTGCCAGTTAAAACAACGCACTTGCATCGCGATAGCCTTCACTATGCTATTGAGAGACAAGTGCGCCATCTAGAAGAGCGTCTGACACTCTCCAGATCGACCGCTTCTGGCTTCAAGGCGTCCAGCTTCCGCATAGCTGACAGCTTTGACTTGAAGTGTCTGCTGCCTATCGTTTCATCTTGTTAGCGCAAATCTAGGATACTGCAACGATCTAAAGCTATGGAGAATGGGGAAGTATTATCCTTGGACCCCTTACACAACCTATGGCAACGTCATTCCCTGAAACAAAAATTCACCATACAACATATCAACGCTAGAAGAGTGACGATTGAATTAAGAGATCTCTCCACATCTGAAGCCGGACGCGCGTGGATTCAACAAGTACGATCTTAGTCGATGACTACCAGCAGTGCATATGTTGCTCATTTTGCCTGAAAACACTTCGACCTGCAAGTAGAAGTGCGCACTGCTGTTGAAGGGAACCCAGATACCGGGTAAATGAACCTGCAGTGTTTGTTGAAGATAAAACATCAGTTCACTGGGCAAGATGCTGGTATACCGGAAAGAAGAGTGGGGCATGATACGCATGCACGCCACCATGTGTTGTGGAACTGTTTTGTGCAGACCCCTCTTTCTGAATCAAGTCTTTTGCATGACTTACCGTCCGCTACGGACAGTCAAAACATTAATTGCAGGTACAGTATTCGTTGGTATGAGGATGGAAGTTCCGTGATTCCGGACACGGATCTGTATCTATAGCGAGAGGCGAGCCTGGTACAGGTGCTACGAATGCCACCCGCCCACTTGTTTAGTTATCGTCATGCTACTGGGCTCCAATCTCTTTCTTCCGATGAGGTTGTTCAGACCAAATCAGACCGGTTGCACGTCAATTGCCGATTGAGCGGTGAGCATGATGATAATCAGGCGACGTAGTAGGCCACCATGATTAACGAGTACAAGACGTCAAGTGTTGCAACTATCGGCAGCATTGATACCGGTCTCGGAGGCCGCGGACGAGGTCTCGTCGTCTTCCAAATCCAAAGAGCCTCAACGTAACTTTGAATATGGAGCGCCGGGCAAACACTAGCATGCGGTTGTCGTGTAGACTGCTCGATTGGTAATCTCGGTTGTTGAAGACGCAAATGTTGAGGTACAGCGTGTGTGGAGTATTTGGAAACCTGGTTCGAGGTCTGTCCGCGCAGCAGATGGCGCTCGTGGCTTCCGTCTGGTGCAACGGCGCCAGTCACGGCAGCTGCATTTCATCAAGACAGAACCGCAACCTGGAATGCAAGGGCTTCCCCGCCCTAGATGATCGCCAGCAAGGGGCGGCGGCGCCATCTCCACACGAGGTGCAAAGACAGTTGTGGATGTAGGGCATATTTGATAT